TGGCCCAAGTGGCCACCACAATATTGTTAGAGGCTTCTCACCTAAGGGTGTGGGATTCAATCCCCACCCCTTTCCCTTCCCCATTCCCCAAATTACCTATATTCAAAAAAAAAAAAAAAACATTAAAAATTGAGATATTGTCAAAGTTGATTTAGATAATGTTTTCTTATAAAAAATCTTACATTAGTCATGGGATAGTGTATGTATCATACATACCTACTTATATCAAATTGAGGTGTTTTTTAACTAAAAACATACCATTGCAATTATAAGTGGAAAAAGATATTTATAATTTCTACTATCATCTAAAATTGTAAAATTATGTAATGTTTCATCCACTAATTACAAACCCTTAAAGCGGTAGCCAAAAGTGTTAAACCGGCAACTAGCATGAACATCACCACTAGTTACACGAAGGTACAACTTCACTTACAAGTCATGCCACTTGTTTTGGTCTCATTGGTTGACATAACGGTCAAACATAACAAGTGCCAACATTCCTTCACTCCTAAAACGACAGTTAGGCACAGCCACCATCTTCAAAACTTTCTTTTCTTCTAAATGCACAAACTTAATGCTCCGTTAATGATTTACATTGATTTTAGGATTAGTCAGACCTCAACTTGCGTCTCGCGTAATTTGTTTGTATTTTTAAAAAAATTTCTATTAATTATAAATGTTTGGTTTAAACAAAATTTTGGTCACTCAACTTTCCACTTTGGCCCTTCAACTTTCTACTTTGGCATCAAAATTGTCTCCCAACTTTAAAAAGTACCAAAATTATCCTTAAATTTTCATTTTCGGTACCAAAATGATCCTTTCGTTAGTTAAACAGACAGGTGGCAGTTAAAATGCCACAAAATCATTGGATTTTTTGAATCTTAATGCAATGTATATCTGGCAAAGAAAATATTGTTTCTGTGGCATTTTTTTACACATCAAATGTCGTCTTCCAAGTTTCTCCTTTTAATGGGGCCCACATGAAAATTTGTTTTCTCTTTTTCCAGTTTCAATCAAGTTCCCCAAAAATCAGAGTTTTCTTCAATGCTCTTTTCATTTCCTTTTCAAATTTAAAACCCTAAACCTACTTCTACAAAATTAAAATCAAAATCAATATCATCCTTCTTTTTTCTTCTTCTTATTCTTTCTCTCTCTCTTCTCTCTTCTTCCTCTCCAGATCTGGGTTTTCTCAGGCTTGCTGAATCGGCCTTAGTTCACTCATTGCTTCTTATTTTCTTTGTTGATTTTCTAGTTACAATCCAACAAATCCATCAATTTTCTCTAATCCCAAATCTCTCTCTTTCTATTTACTTTCT